GGGGGTATTTATAGTTTTAGAGAAAGTTAATTTTGTAAATTGAAAAAAGGTTAAATTTTAAAAAAAGAGAGGCTATTTATGCAATTGACCCGTTGGCCAACGGATCAATTCCAGATCTGTCCGTTGCCAACGGTTAGTGACCCCACTTAATTCAAAAATTTAAAAAAAAACAAAAAAAAAAGTTATAGCCGTTGTACCGGTCCGGTCCGGGCCGGTTAAATCGGTACACGTTACCAAAAAATAAACGGACCAACCCCCTCTACCCCTCCTACCCAGCCCCACCCGGCCCCTTTGTACCGGGTCGGTCCAGTTCCGATTTTTTCGATTCAGGCCGGTCCGGTTACAGGTCAACCCGGCCCGTTTAACACCCTTAGTTTAAAGTTAGAATTATTTCCAAATTTAAAAATGTGTCATTTATTTTGGAACATACTAAAAAGGAAAGTATCTTATCTAATTTGAAACTGAGGGAGTATAATTTTAAAAAAGTTTGATAAAAATTACACATATTAATAAAATTGATACGAACCTACCTGAGAAGGTGTATTTCAGGAATGAGAAGGGAAGCTTGGTGGAACAGAGAGTACACTATGACTGGAAACCTACTATATGCAAATATTGCCAGAAGTTTGGCCATGTGGAAGAAAACTGTAAGAAGAATAACAACCTACAACAAGAGTCTCCAAAGAAGCTAGAGGAAGAGAGGCACAATGTAGCAGAAAACCCAAAGACACAAGGAAGAATAGTAGCGGCAACTGAGGTTTCAAAGGAAGTAGGAACAAGTAAAAGGGTTGATAAAACTCGGGGAACCAATCCACAACCTGGTAAAGGTGCATGGATTACTCCCCTGAACCTAAGCAAGCAGCAATCAAACCATTGAGTAAAAGCTCAGTACAAAAATGCATTCCAAGTACTGGAATGTGTAGAACATAGCAATAGAGGACAAGGAGCCAGTAAAGTTAGAAATGAGGGAGGAGTTCTATACCTCTCTTAGGCCATAGATAGCATGTTAAGTTGGAATGTAAGGGCCTAAATTGCCCGAATAAGCAAAGAGAGGTACAACTCCTTTGTAGGAAAGAGGAAGTAGGACCGGTAGGTTTGATAGAAAAAAAATATGATTGAGCAGTTGACAAGCAAACTATTTGGAGGTTGGGAGTATGTCGCCAATCTCGAGCATCATTATAATGGGCGGACTTGGTTAACTTGGAGGCCAGATCTCTTTTAGGTTAACCAAATTTCAAGTAATGCACAAGCAATAACTTGTAGGGTCACAAACATGAATATAACTTTTACACTAACAGTGGTATATGCACATAATGCCAAAGAGGATAGGAGAGTATTGTGGCACTATCTTAATAATAGAAGTAGAAGCTGCAATGGACCATGGATCACTATGGGAGATTTCAATGCAGTACTTAATATGGATGACAGGATTGGGGGCAACCCAGCCACAGTGAATCAAGTCATGGAGTTTCAAGATTTTGTGGAGTCTTGTGGACTGTTGGAGTTGCCTCCTAAAGGAAGCACATACACATGGAGTGACAGGCATGAGGTACAAAGGATGCTCTCTAAGATAGATTGGGCCTTTATCAATAATGAATGGCTGCTCCAGATGCCTGCATACATAGCCAACTACTTGCCAGCGGGCATTAGTGACCATTCTCCTATTAAGGTGGAACTACTTAATGCACCTGGAAGGATTAGCAAACCTTTCAAGTATTGCAATATTTGGGCAACTCACCCTAAGTTTTTGGAGGTAGTGACAACAACTTGGCAGAATGTAGGGTCAGGATATGCTATGCTACAAGTAGTTAAGAAGCTGAAATCATTAAAGAGGAATTTGAAGGTGCTCAACAAGCAGTATTTCAGAAACATTATAACTGAAGCTGAGGAGGATAGAACTAAACTAGGGCAAATATGGAAAGCACTGCAGTTTACTCCCAGAGACCAAAATTTGCAAGTACAGGATAAAAAAATAGTATCAGAAATTTAAAAGATCATCATATCTAGCAGAAGGCTTCTTGCAACAGAGAAGCAAAGCAATATGGATTTAGCTTGGAGATGATAATTCTAAGTAATTCTTCTCTGTTATTAAACATAGGAGATTACAACAGTGTATTACACAGCTGAAAGATGTTTCAGATGTAATACACGTAGAGCCGGAAGACATAGCTAGACTGTTTGTGGAGTTTTACCAAGAATTACTGGGCAGCAAAGCATCAACTAGAACTAAAGCTTTTAAGAGTTTTTTGAGCAATGGGCATGTGTTAACATTTGAACAACAGATGGAGGTACTTCAACCAAACTCTAACAAGGATGTGAACAAGGCCATGTTTAGCATAGATAACAATAAGAGCTTTGGACCAAATGGATATGTGAGTGATTTTTTCAAGAAGGCCTGGAGCATTGTAGGGAGAGATGTCACCACTGTTGTACTATATTAAACTATAGAAGGCTGTTGAAACAGATCAATGCAACAAATATCACTCTGATTCCAAAGGCCTCTAATCCTGAATATGCAAGTCAATTCAGACCAATATCCTGTTGTAATACCCTGTACAAATGCATCTCTGAAGTCCCATGTGAAAGATTGAAACAAGCTCTGACACAATTGGTGGCAGAAAATCAGGCAACCTTTGTGACAGGTAGATCTCTAGTACACACTGTGCTAATCTGTCATGATCTCATGAGACACTATAACAGGAAAATAACACCTAGATGTCTAATAAAAGTAGATTTGAGGAAAACATATGATATGGTGAGCTGGGAGTTCATAGAAGAAGCACTAATAGGGTATGAGTTTCCAGTCACTTTTACTCAGTTGGTTATAGCATGTGTTACCTCAACAAATTTTTCTGTGAAAATTAATGAACAAGGTTATGGATACTTTGAAGGTAAAAGAGGACTGAGGCAGGGAGACCCATTTCACCTCTTCTGTTTGTGCTTGTAATGGAGTACCTCCCAAGGACATTAAAAAAGATGAGTGAACTCCCAGATTTCAAATACCACCATATGTGCAAGGTCCTGAAGCTCACTCACCTAATATTTGCTGATGATTTAATGATCTTCTGCAAAGGTGACACTAGATCAATAGCAAGGGTAATGGAAACACTAGAGCATTTTAGTAGTGTTATTGTACTAGTGGCCAATGTGGACAAATTTAATATTTTCTTGGCTGGAATAGATGAAGCAAGTCAGGCACATATACTAGAAAGTACAAGATTCTCTGTAGGTACTTTACCTATCAGGTATCTTGGATTGCCACTATCATCAAAGAAATGGAGCAAATAGATTGCCATCAACTAATTGGTAAAATCACACATAGGATAACAAGTGCCTACTCAAGGAATCTATCCTATACAGGAGGATTACAGATTATAAATGTTGTGTTGTTCTCATTATATACTTTTGGAGGGCTATTTTCATTTTACCTCAGAGTGTACTTAAAGAGATGGATCAAAAGTTTAGGAATTATCTCTGGGGGGTTCAGAAGAACATAGAAAGTTGGCTCTAATTGCATAGGAGAAAGTGTGTGTGCCTAAAAAGTATGGAGGCCTCAACATAAAGAATTATAGGCTGTGGAATATTGTTGCAGTAGGGAAACTACTATGGCAGGTGGCAAATAAGGAGGACATTTTATGGGTTAGGTGGGTCCGTGGAGTATATATAAGGACTGAAAGTAATATATGGCATCATAAAGCTCCAGCTGACTGCAGCTGGTATTGGAAGAATCTAAATTCTCTCAAAGGCCTTATGGAGAGTTGATATCAGAATGGGGAATACATACTAATTCCTAATGGTGCTTATTCAATGACAAGGAGCTACAACATGTTACTAGGAGAGCAGGTGAGAATGCAGGAAGCCAGCTTAGTATGGACAACAATGATGCAACCTAAGCATAGGTTTATCATCTGGTTAGCCAACCAAGATAGGCTGCTAACAAAGGAAAGGCTTCTCAGGATGCAAATCTCAGTGGCAAATGGATCATGCAGCTTATGTGATCAAGGAAGACTTGAAACTCAGGCACATCTATTTGTTGAATGTGCATGGATTACATCAGTTAGGAATGGATTGTCTATATAGTTAGGAATACAGCTCTAAGAAAAGGGCATCAGGGAGAGCCTACATTGGATACAAAGAAGGAATAGGAAACAAGTTCAAAAAGAGGTGGTTGCAGCAGAGTGGAGTGCTATGATATACCATACATGGAAATCTAGTAATTGGTGAATCTTTAGGAATATAACTGTAAATACAGAGGTTACCATAGCAAAGATACAACAAGAAGTTAAGATTAGACTAGATAGCATGAGAAATACAGGCGGAGCTCGTAGATGTCAATATTTATTTACTCGGATATATAATTAGAAGAGATCTTATGAGGCCTAGCAGATACTAAGTGCTCTCTAGGTGTAAAGTTTTTGTTGGTAATGATAATATTCACAGTTATTACCAAAAAAAAATTCAACCAAAAATCCCACATTTGAAAAAAACAATTGCGCACAAGTCTGTGACTATTGAACGACTGCTACTTAGTGAATTCTTTTAATTGTTATCCGTACTCACTACTCATACGTTGTAATAAAAACATTAAATATAATTTCGATCAGAAAATGTTATTTGAAAAATAGGTTAGACACACTATTTTTTATAAACATGTAAATGCAATGAATATTCTTACATTCAAGTTATGAGAAAATAAACTTATCCATTGGAAACCAAATAATGATGAAAGGACCCATACACAGCTAGTATATCTGAATACCAACGCTCAAGATAGATAACAAAAACACCTATACTGACTTACCAGATATAAACATCTCAAATGGATATTTGAGAAAAGAAGTTCCACTGGAACGACTATTAAGATTTCCTTCTAAATCAATTAAAATATAATATAGTTTCATATATGTCATACATTTTTTCCCAATTGATTAGATTTCTATGGCAAACGTCTAATAAGTAATTAATACCGCAATAAAAAGAGAGAGGATATCACATTTTCATAAAATAATTGTTAAACCAGATAAAGTAAATAATTTTAGCCATTAATCCATATTCCAAAGAACACTGCATAGACTAACATGCAGTACTCCTGCCTTAATCATAGAATAAGAGCAGTATGTATAATAATATTGCTTTCGTCCATCAAATTTTTCCCTATATAATAGACATACGAAGATTGATATACTATACGAGTATCAAGCTGTAGCCATGGGAAATGGAGACATTAATTAACCTATCAAAAGCTATCAAGCTAGGGTTCAAAGTATAAGCTAAAGTAATTATTTGTAGGAGCCCAATTATATCAATCTCGCTCGAGTTTTGTGCTCTTCTCATTCAGTTTTTTTTTGGTTAAAGGGAGAACATTTTATTGCATGCTAAAGGGTTACAGAAGAGTTATTGGTTGCATGATCACTATCATGGATAGTGATTGTACTGAGGTTACCAAGACTTGCCAACTTATTACAAATAGATACTGATATTATTCTAGTAGTGGTTAGGCCTCCTTTGTCTGCTTGGATCGTTGCCAAAACAGAAAATGGAGGGGTTTCTATAACTAACAAGTGGTTATATATAGCTTGCTTGGAACCTTGTTTTGCCAGATGTGCTGCATTGTTTCCCTCACGGAAACTGTGCTGGACCGTTGGACTCCTCAACTGGTATCTGCATGAATCGAGAGTTGATTAATAAGTTACGTGGTTTTGCTGTAGTAATTCTATGGCTTTAACTGAATCAGTTTCTACTTCAATAGGGAACAAGCTATGCTGAGTTGCTAGTTGGAGCCCATACTCTAAGGCCAACAGTTCTGCATGGGTATGAGTCATAGCAGCAACCTTTACATGAAAGCCAAGGATCCATTCACCAGCAGAGTTCCTTACGATCCCCCTAGGCCTCCCATACACTCTTTATCTGCGTAGGAGCCATCCGTGTTTAACTTGTAGAAACCCGTGGCAGGCGGATACCACTTGATGTGGATGGTGTTATTAGGGGGAGTACTATTAGTTGGTCCCGTGCAGAACTTGTATTCCATCGATCTAGTAAAGACCACCCGGGCATCCAAAAAAGTGATTGTCTTGTTAAAAACATTATGATTTCGATTTAACCAAATGTGCCATAAAGCAAAAGGGAGAAAATCAGCCCAATCTAAGGGATAGCTATGGAGAGGAGGGTTAGTATCCCTCAGCAGATGAAGCCAGTGGTGCTCATGGCAGGGCAGGGCATCGGTATTGAGTCCTATATCCATCCAAAACTTTTTGGCTATATGGCATTCCATGAAAATATGGTGGATGGTTTCATCAGTGGTGGTGCAAAAGGTGCACGTAGGGTTGGTGGTAATGCCAATGTGATGTAGGTATGCATTGGTAGGTAACCTATTGCAGGAGAAAAGCCAAAGGAAGAACTTTATTTTGTTAGGGGTATTTAAGAACCAAATCCAATTAATAGTAAAATTGTTGTGAGAGGGAGTAAGTAGCAAGGAGTAGACAGAGTTCGTGGAGAAAATACTATTTTTGTTTAAGGACCAAAAAGCAGTGTCTTTCCTGTATGGGAAAAAGTTGGCGGACGAGGTTCTACGCATAATGTTGTCAGGGATTTGCATGTTAAACCTAGACCAATCCCAAGTTTGGCCATTTCATATGTGGGAAAGTTTGAGCCCCATATCGTTCTGGTTCATAGGACCATGGACTAGTGTCATGACCCGGATTTCCTACCTTTGGGAGTCGTGAAGGCGCCTACTAATGGGACCTAGGCAAGCCAAACCTTAACTACTTATTTCATTTTTATATTGCTTCTTTTTTTTAACAACACACAAGGCGATAACATGATAACAGAGGAACTTTAAATAATTAAGCAGAAGTCAACAATTAAATATCTTAAGTCTACATCTATTACAACTTTTAAAATCTCAAATACCCAAAACCTGGTGTCACAATGTCACAGACTATCTAAGATTACTACATACAAGGTCTGAAGAAATAACAATATATTGTTTCTGAATAAAGGAATATGAAACATGAAATAGAGATAGAGGGAGACGCCAGGGCCTGTGGATGCCTGTAGGTCTACCTTGGGTCTCCGGGTAGACTGAAGAAAGCACTTCAACTACTGTCTGAAAGTCGCTCCAGGATCTGCACACAGTGCAGAGTGTAGTATCAACACAACCGACCCCATGTGTTGGTAAGTGTCTAGCCTAACCTCGGCGAAATCGTGACGAGGCTAGGACCATACTACCAAATAGACCTGTGCAGTTCCTGAAGGTGTTGGTTTATGTTTAGTCAACAATGGCATGCCAATTGGAAGAGTTGGTGTAGAAGCTAGGAGGAAGCTTCCTCCTTTGATGTCATCCATGACATCAAGAGGAGGTAGTTTGATGTCACCAATGACATCAAGATGAGGTCTTTACCTCTATAAATAGATGTACTACTTCATTTGTAGAAACCATCCCAAAAATAATACAACACATTGTAGTGAGTAGAGAGTTAAGAGAGAAATTCTCTCAAGTGTAATTGGGAACTCTCCCCTTCCTTTGTTAATATTAAAAAGGCAATTGTTCTCTGGTGGACGTAGGATTATTTTGATCCGAACCAGTTAAATCTTGTGTTCTTTCTTTTACGTTTCCGCTAACAATTGGTATCAGAGCAATATGATTCTTTAACGATCCAAGGAGGAAGAACAAGGAAAGATGAGTTCCATGAAGTTTGAAATTGATAGATTCAGTGGACGCAACACCTTCAATATTTGGAAGATCCAGATGATGGCGTTACTGCGGAGGGAAGGTT